AAATCACCTGTGGTTCTTGTTACACAAGCCTCTGACAATGTCGTTAAATTGCTTAGTTATATAAAACACATTTTGTTGTTTAAAAGGACATTGCTGGTAATTCTGTTAACGTTCTTGGATCTAAGTCGCTTTTAAATATTTAGAGACATCCAGGAAAACATTCATGTCTTAAATTGTTCTTAGCTAAATTTGATTTTTTTAGCTAATAAGCCAATGTAACGTAAAGTTAGGCTCGAATAGAAACGCATACGTAATTCTTTTATATTTCCTTAGCAATGTGGGAATGTTCCTGAACGCCAGGTAAAATACGTATGTCCAGGGGCACTCCCATATTGTTAAGGGTAAGTGGAGTAGAACATGAGTAATGTACTTGGCAGAAATGAAAGAAGCTTGCGTTGAGCCACTTAACTTGGAAGACGATTAGACTAAATCGTTTTAAAAGTTTTCCCTGTCCAATATGGACAGTATTAATAGGTGATTAATGAAGTAGTAGATCATTAGTGGACTATGAGGATATGAGAGCTTAAAACTAATTCAATCTGCCAATGACAGTAAATTGTAGCAGTTAAAATTTTGGTTTCGCTAAATCCATTGTTTTTTGTATTCATCAAATTGGCACAATTTCAAACGCATGCACAATGTCAGAGTAGAATGTGGGTATTTCTAGCGATGAACTTTACCGCAGTCGCTGAAACTGACCGTTGTTGATGACTTACCGCCTTCGTACGTTTTGTCTTTTATACTTCCCGTACATCCCAACGCCGTGAAATTCTTTAGGCATTTTTATACACGAGCCTGGGAAGGTTTCTGTCCTATTACCGATCTTGAAATCGCCTACGGCTCTGCTGTCCACTCAAGGTTTAGTTGCATTCCCAGGAAACAGTAAGATTATAAAGCTTCACTATAGTAATGCTAAAGTTGATTCCTTCTTATCCTGATACTGGCTGTACTGGAACGAATTTTCTCGTGGGAAAGATTGTAATTGAAAGGTTGTATGATGATATTGGTTTAAAATATGATGCTTCGGCGAAGAGGAAATATTTTGATTAGTCCTGTTACCCAATATGATTGAGTACAACGAAGCTGTGTTAAATATTGCAATTGAAACAAATAAAGATCGAACTGTAGAAGGTGAGCTAGTTAGAAGCTCCCACGGCTGAACAGAGACGTGTGGCAAACACCCAGATACATGATCAGAATGTTGTACAACTCCGACAAGGTGATACTTTGCAAGTATCTACTGGTGCTGTGCAGTTGGGAGATAAAGCACGTCTCAATCCTTAGCTATACAAATTATCATTGGCTGTAAATACACTGTAAAGAACACATTCCTTTCCTATGCAACATTCATGGTTAGGTTAGGGTTTAAAAATTTTCGAAGGTTCTAAACATTAAATAGGCTAATGCTAATGTGACAAAAGATCCTAATTCAAAGCACCCTTAAAATCTGACAATGATTGACAGTGTCCGAAGATTTGGTTTCAGTCTGGACGCTAGATAAAAATTATATACTTCAGAAAGGAATCCTAGTCAACACAAGTTACTATATACGCTATTTTTATGAACATCAGCGAAAATGTGTGATCGGTACTCTGACTCAGTGTTTACACCATTGCCTTCTACTTTACTCGATGGTGTGACAAGTAAGATAATGATTGTGAGTCACTGTTTTGAACACTGGTCTGTACAATCAGTCCGAACATTGTTATACACGGTTTCCAAACACAGTTCCCAGTCTCAAAAGGGAGGAGATTCATGAGAATGCACGAGTGTGTGCTGTTCTGTGTAGTTTTACGTATAAGATTTATTAGAATAATGCCCCAAATTGTTATCTCAACATGCAACTTGAGATTAGAACAGCTGATCTTAGTCAGTAACAAAGCTACGCTACACAGATTATTTCACACCATTCTAGACTTGTCCTTCACTCATATTTGGGTTTGGGCACCTAAGCGGCGTCCCCATTTCAATGATTAATAATTGATGATTGATGAATGTTTATAGTGTCAACAGAGTAAATATGTGGTCTACATTACAGTAGCTAACATGCAATGTCATTAAATCAATAAGGGAATAAAATAATTATCGAATCGATTTTCATGGAACATTATCCACACATACATTATCTGGAAAGTTCTTGCATAAGGCCCCTATTAGCCGTGAGCAACATGTGGCGCAGCTAGTGGAGCCGCCGGTGTCGGACGTGTAGAGGGGCATGGAGTCAAATGGTGCCTATTAGCCGGGGGGAGACCGGTGGCGCCGCCGAAAAAGCTGCCCGAGGTGTTGCCGGGAGTGATTTTGCCCGGCAACATGTGTCACGACCGTTTTAGTGTCCAGGCAGTCGGGGGGCATTGCAGTATATGGAGCCTATTAGCCGTGGCCAACATGCGACGCCACAGACTGCGCTCGCATGCACTATTAACGTGAAAACGAAGCCTGTCACACAGTCTACATCGTGGTTTGAGTCGATTGAGACGTGCCTCGCCATATTGCTGTTATATTCATTAGTGAATTCGGTTCATTTTGTTTACCAGTGACCTTTTTAACAGTGTATTCTGTCCTTTTTGTGTCATTGGCGTTTTTAGTTGTCTTAGTTTAGATAAACAATGTCCAGTGCTAATAGTGACGTGCAAATTGTGGATGCAGTCACTCAACGTCATTTTGACACTAGAGTGTTGTGGTTAATTCCGCTGTTTGAGCGAGCTACGAATGTGTCGCGCGACTAGTGTACAGGTTCCAAAACGCTGTGGGTCACCGGCGGCTCCACTAGCTGCGCCACATGTTGCTCACGGCTAATAGAGGCCTAAAAGTCATTTCTATAGCTGATATGTAGGTCTATATCTTACGGTGGCTTCTGAACCACCATTGGTGATTGAAGAGATTAGAACTCATGACTCCAGAACCTCAGTAACTCGAGTCTTCAGATCCTCAGATCCTCAAGTCTGCTTCTCTAACAATTTTGCATTATGTTATGGTAATGGAAAATCTACATAGATGGATAGAAAAATATTTCGGTAATGTAATACACACACAGATGGCTCGCACTTGGGATAAGTTTGCAGTGCTTGCAATTATATGAAACACCACGCCCGCAACTGGTAGCACCAAAAGGTACGACGTATTTTGGTTTCAACGATCTAGCCAATTTCGACGATTCTTCCGTACCAATCTTTGGAAAATGTTCAAGTCCGGTATATGTAGATTCTAATGGATTTTTACCATTTATTTCTTCTTCTTTCACCAACATCAAAACTATAATAAAATAAAATATATGTCTGTATAATTGTATTCCCTCTTTTTGCTGTATACTAAAAAGTAAGCACGCTTTCTACAATCTTATCCTAAAAAAGACAATCCCATTTCATTGCTTTAAAAGCCCTCTTTGCTTGCCGGACATAAAGCAAACGTTCATATATTTTTAGATTTTGCAAAAGGACGAGAAAAATTGTTGCATTATCCAAAATCAAAGGAAAGTTGTTTACCTAGTGGTACTCGTTTCGGAGCGACAGTGACGGATCCAATCCCTGGCAAATAAAAAAATCATTGATGGACAGTTTTCTCTTGGAAGAGTTTAGTATTCTTTCTTGCAAAACTCCACTGACATCAAAACTATAAAAAAATCTATTGTACTCAGCAACATAATTGAGAGTATGAATGACATAAAAATACAGTAGCATTGTAAATCTAGTAACAAGAATTGTCAAAAAAGAAATACAATTCGGTGGATTAAATGAAAATTTCCAAATAAATAGGCCCTCAACCCGCAACAGTTACAAAAGTCAACAAAAGCGTTATGATTTATGCGGGTGTTACCCTCTGGAGACAAAACGATCGATAACAAGTAGACAATTTATTGCGGCAGTCAGTCAGTAGTCGGTCTATTATCGCGCCCGCATAGCAACTGATGAGGGTCGGGACCCGGGAGTCGCTCATCTAGCCGCCAAAATACTAGCAGACGATAATACGCGGGAAAACTCGCAGAAACAGTCGCTCATCTAGCCGCCAAAATACTAGCAGACGACAATATGTACAACAACATTTAATAAGGAATACAATACTTTATTAATATTTAGTGTTCACGAGTAGGTAGCAGGCTCGCAAGGCAAGTAATTGGGCCCAGCCGTCCTAATTCGGCTAAATCAAAAGCTGATATTATTCAGTAAAAAATAAAAAACAAAATTAAAAAAAAAAAACACACACACACACACAGAAGACAAGTCACTCCTATCAACATTCACCCTTCATTCATATTCAGGTTCAAATGCACATCAATGACTTAGTTGATTGATATTTTATGTAATGAATGAAATGCTACAATAAGGTGTGTAGTACTCCAGGAAACTATCACCTTCTCATGATCGCCCTCTGAAGCGTATATGCGTTATCACTCCAGTCTCGTATGAGGAAGTATAGAGTTCATTTGCCCGGAGTCAGTGCGATGCGATGCGCCATGATTGCTACGAACTGTTTGTTTATTCCGGAGGTTTGCTATCATATTTAATTAGCGATAAACAGTTTGACAGTTGCTATCACATCGCTCTGTGGCGTCGAGCGTCTAGAGATACTTCTAGACGATCAACTCCTACACCAGTTCCCTTTGGTTTTTAAATTTACTTAACATTGTGTCGTTTACGAAATTTCTACGAAAAATCTTCTTGAGATTCGTAGTGGTAATCCACAATCCAACATCCAACGCCAAACTCTAAGTAACATTTATAGGTGTTCAAAAACTTGGAAAATTTAATATTCCAGAAGTTTAAAAAAGAAAATGATGGTTCGATGAAACTTCCTCACACACAATTAACATAATGTGTAAAGTTTTCAATTATACACTTGCATGATCCCGTGATATACTTAAAATAACAGTTTTTAGATCGCGAAATTCCTGTGGGCCCTTTTTACAATTGGGGCTGATAGTATTCTATTATGATTTTTGTCGACTTATAATATTTTATGATTTTAGTTTAATGGTATCTAAGGCATTAGGTTACGATGATTACCTTCTTCCATTTTGAGCGGCGAGTCAGGCGGGCTGTCGGTGGAGGTGTTGAGGCTACAGTAGGAATGCTCTGTCTTGATGGGCGCCGTGCCGAGGGCGGCATCTGTCATGAGGCGGTCGTGTAGGATCACCTGGGGTTTGACATCCAGCAGGCCGGAGCTCCAGTCGTCGTCAGCGCCCTTGCTGAACACATCGCTCATCTGGAACAAGGGACAAACACATTAGTGGATACTAGAGAAGTAGAGAGTCCAACGATCAGAAAATGTTGGTCAACGGGGTGTGCAAAACATCAAACTTAGCGTGAAGTAATAGGCCAATCTAAGATCCAGATTTAGAACAGGTTGGCGTGAATTTCATTTGCTCTTAGGGATTGGGGAGCTATGAATCAAGGATACGACGACAAGAGAGGATAGTGGTGGATTCACACTTCATCAAATGTTCTACAATGGCGTAAAATACCGATGATTAAAATTGGGACGGATTGGGGCACATTTTGTATAGGTACTAGGAGAGAATACGGAGTTATCTGAAACCACGGGACGCTGACATGGTGCTTGGTGGTGGATTGATTACGTTCATACAATGTTAACAACAATATTACATACTACCAATACCGTACGCACTCCTCAAAACGCTTAACTCATGTACTTTTTATCCGGTACATTCAAACTATTTTGTGTTCAATAACGAGACTTATCCAGTTTATTTATCTAAAACTCAGGTAGCCTTGTGGACGTGATGGGAGCTTAGTTTGACCGCATGCTGAACTCTGTGTAGGAGGTCGTAGGGTTAACGAGATAAGAGTCATATCTACTTAATAGTATATTGGTACCAAAACTACGACATCAATAATAGAGTACAGCAAGGAGTTTCTTACAAACTCGCCATCATAGCGAAGCGTGGATTTCACTACAGTAGTATATCCACAGATTAAACCATTCTCGGGTAAGGACACTACTCAAATCTAGGCACTCGTAGTGATTAGTTAAATCCACCAAGACAACAGGAAAGCGAGAAATCTCCAAGTCGCTTATAGCGCCGGCAAGATGAAAAAGCAGCCGAAAATAACCAGCGGTGAAATTAATTGTGGAGTCTCTGGCGCGCACGATCATTATGGGACGATGAAGGACTCTGGAGTGGTGAGAAGTTGGCGAAGTCTGCGCTCACAGAGACACGTCACGCGGACAGCCTTCCTCAGCACGACGCAGCATCACAGTACAGAGTACAGAGTATCTAGCAACTAGCAACGGTACAGGATAAATAGTATCTAGCAACCAGTAACGGTACAGGGTAGAGTGTATCTAGCAACTAGCAACGGTACAGGGTACAGAGTATCTAGCAACGGTACAGGGCACATAGTATCTAGCAACTAGCAACGGTACAGGGTACAGAGTATCTAGAAACTAACAACGGTACTGGGTACAGAGTATCTAGCAACGGTACAGGGCACATAATATCTAGCAACTAGCAACGGTACAGGATACAGAGTATCTAGGAACTAACAACGGTACTGGGTACAGAGTATCTAGCAACGGTACGGGGCACATAGTATCTAGCACCTAGCAACGGTACAGGGTACAGAAGCTCTAGGATCAACAAGAAAGACTGCCAAGAATCAATAGAAAAATATAGCATTATTAGACAATCTCAAGCAACCGTAAATAAGACAGCACGTCATGATCAGTATAGGACGTCTACTATCAGAACTGAACCTCTAGTAATAGTACAGGGTTCTTCAGAAACTCATGAATCCATATGTAAAGTCCAACCAGCAGCGGTTAGGTCAGAGTACAGCACCTTGAGTATCAGTAGTAAACGTTTACATTAGTACAGAACCTGAAGCAACAGTGATAAGTTGGGAACATCAAGAATCAGTATGTAACGTCTCATATCAGTGCAGAATCTCATGCAACGGTACAGAGTGCAGCAACTCAAGGATCAGTTTCAAGGCTTAGGAAAATAAATGAATTAGTACACATACAGAACTTCTATCGTTACGGCAAAAATTCGGTCAACGATAGAGTACATAGCCTAAAGGATTTGTAGAGAACCGTCAGTATTGAACATTTTGCTAAGGTATCAAACCTCAAGCATCACACATAGTATTTAGCAGCAGCAGTGTAATAGCAACTAGTCCACTGTCAAATGTACACCCGTGTGCTCCTTGATGAGGCAGGTGTGGGAGTAGTCTTAATCTCTTCGTTTGACCTTTGAGAAATACAATTTCGATGGTGGCACTCTTGAAAATTGTGCGTTTGAACGCTGTGGGTAAAAAACAAAATGGCCGCCATTTAAAATGTTTAAAGTCAAATTCCATGAAAACCAGCTATTAAAATAAAGTTTTGAAACACATTATTTAAAGTCCTTTTTATTCCAAATCGAATGACACTTTATTTTCGAAAATCGGATAATAAATAAAAAAGTTATGTAACTTTTGTTATTAATGCTAATTATCAAAATGGCAGTCATTTTAACACCACAAAGTTAAATTCCATAGAAAATAGTGACAAAAACATTATAAAAGTTACATAAATTTTTTATTTATTATCCGATTTTCGCAAATAAAGTGTCGTTTGATTTGTAATAAAAAGGACTTTACATTTTGTGTTTAAAAGTTTTGTTTAAATTGCTGGTTTTCATGGAATTTGACTTTAAAAACTTCTAATGGCCGCCATTTTGAAATTCGATGAGCCTAATCAAAGATTTTTTCGGAGAATGTTAATAGTTTTAGACTTAAAGTTTATACCAAGTTTCATAAAAATATCTTCAAGGGCTATTGAGTTATGAGTTATTTTCAAAAAAATTCAAAATGGCGGATTACGGCTAAACTAAGCCGAAATCGAAACAAATTTATACAACATTTTTGACTTATTTTTGCACATAGAATCTGAATCTGCACAGTCCACAACGCTTTACTGAAACATTCTTTATTACTTTTTGAAATATTTAACTGTCCTGGGACATTACATCCACCCTGATTAATTTTATTTATGAAAAAAATAAAATTATGTTTTATGAAATAATGGTTGATCCTACATAAAAACTGTAATCATATTTTTTGTGCAGATTTAAAATAGCTACATTTTGGTATCAACAATTCTTTTGTAACCCTAACGGTTACTGATATAAGTAAGGAAAAAATGTGGTTCGGATTCCACTATAAACTGTAGGTCCCTTAGTTGCCATTAGCTGTTTGGGCTATTAATTAACAGCTGTGTCTAAGCAATGTCGGCCTTAGTCACTAACAAGACTACAAGATCGCGCCACTCATCCTACACTCATCTCCATTCATACTTGGCTTAAAATACCTACATAGTATGGTCGCCATTTCATAAGAAAGTATAAAGTAAAGTATAAAGAAAACAAGTTTGCGATGGCGGCCCATTTTGTTTTTTACCATTCGGCGTTCAAACGCACAATTTTCAAGAGTGCCACCATCGAAATTGTATTTCTCCAAGGTCAAACGAAGAGATTAAGACTACTCCCACACCTGCCTCATGAAGGAGCACACGGGAGCCTGTATATGTACATTTGACAGGGGACTAAACGACTGTAACACTATGATTATATTATAGTATAGTTATTCTAAACCATGCTTAAAACAGTTTTCAGAAGCGTAGCTAGAATTACCTGTCCATAAACTGTTTGGGAACAAAACCTCAGAGGACCCCAAGAAAGGAGGAAGAATGAAGCCAAAACCTCAAACCCCAAACCTGCAAATAAGATTCTATCTAACTCTCACAACATTAATTACCCCGCCTTGTCATTGACACCCGCGGCAGGTGGGAGATCGTGGCGGGGGGCGGGGCCTCGCCGGTGCCAAAATGGGGTATTGACCTTGACAAGAGCGTTAGCGAGGCCCCCGGGTCAATGTCCACCAGGACGTAAACAAACCCACCTTAGTTTTGCATGCATTCCACACCCCGACTCCGCGGGGGCCACTACAGTCTCAGGTCGTTCCTCCACGGACTGATGGTACCATAGATTCTTAGTAGACAACCACAGTAGTAGAGATCCACCAATCATCCATGCACGGGTCTTTTACAGACACGGGAAGAAGTACGTTTGGAAGATGACAACGATGAACACTTGAGATGCCTTAACATTTTATCCTAGACAACTAAAATAAGCCACTAGTAAATGAACCAAATAATAAATGAAAGTATTGAGGTACCCATGGATTTTGTTGCATCGATCGAGTTGCATGGCAAGTCACATAAATTCTTAGAGATTATTGCATTCTAGGGCCAAGAATATGTAGGGAGATTGATGATGATAAGAGGGATTGAACTTTGTAAAGTAGTTAAACTAGTTTATGTTTTCGATAATTAGGCTACTTGGGTTTGTAGAAATTACAAGCTACAGTAAGTTATAATATAGGGTTAATAATTAACTATACACATATTATGCAACGAATTCACGTTGGTTAGTGGTACGAGTTAAATGGTCGTTGATATTGTATTTAACAAGAAGATAAACCTCTTTATTTAGGCTTGAATCGAAACAAACAGAGCACGTGTTCAACTAAATACTTTACGTTAGTATAAATCGCAAGGAGAATGGAGCTGGCAAAATACAGTAGTTAAGCCAAAATATCAATACTGTAGTCGGACCAAACTATTAGCATCAGCAAAATACCATTACTGTATATTGAAGAAAATAAAAGTTTCAGAAGACAATGTGATGGCTCACGTATTTGCACTACCCATTTATCTTTGAACACAATCCATCTTCAGTCAGACCTAGGTGATCTACAAGGTCTAGGTATCATACAGGACCTAGCACTCTCCCAGAAAGGAAGCCGCCCAAGGAAGGGGAGGAGAGAGGAGAGTAAACAGGTGTAATGGGAAGGGAGAGGATGGGCCAGGGACCGGTCTGGGGAACGGGTTCCTACATTCCAACACGTCAATGACGAGGACATGCAAACACCGTCGCTCGACTACTGGCACCCTCCCTACTACTACAGGTAGATGAGAGATTGCCTCCTTGAGGGGCACATGCAAACACCATCGCTCCACTACTGGCACCCTCCCTACTACTAGAGCATGATACAAAGTTACACCAGATAGATGAGAGATTGCCTCCTTGAGGGGCACATGCAAACACCGTCGCTCGACTACTGGCACCCTCCCTACTACTAGAGCATGATACAAAGTTACAACAGGTAGATGAGAGATTGCCTCCTTGAGGGGAACATGCA